TACATTGGGGGTTAAGGTTTCAACATAAATTTGAATGGGGACACAACTATTCAGTCTATAAGACTATGTTAAAAAAGGGGAGGGGGACTAGTTTAGATACTTTTTTCTTTAGTTATTATTTCTGCTATTATCAGTGCTGTTTTTTAAAACTTCCAGAATTCTCTGTTGCATTATAATATGCACTGTTGTTCTCTTTTATCAGTGCTTTCAACTGTATTTTACATTATTTATATTGCATATTTTAATATCAAATGATTTCCTTTGTTCTAATTTCTTTTTTGCTGTTTATTTCTTTGCATAGTGGTATATTCTTATTAATTATATGTACCTTTGTGGTAATGTTAGTATTAAGGAAGTTTTGCGATGAACACCCCTTCAGTGCTAATAGTGGAATATGATACTCTGATTATGACCATTTTATATTCTTGGGTCAATGAGTGAACTTCAAGAATATTTCAATATCCTTGAATATTTTGCAATTTCTATATTCTGTATATAGAAACGATGTTTTTGGTCAATGATGGACTGCACATATGACAGTGGCCCCATAAAATTATAATACCTTATCTGTTCTGCACCTTTTCTGCGTTTAGATTTGTATAGATACAGAAGTACCGTTGTGTTATAATTGCCTATAGTATTTAGTACATTAACATACTATACAAGTTTGTAGCCTGGAGCAATAGGCTATACCATACAGCCTAGGTGAGTAGTAGGCTTTACCATCTAGGTTTGTGTAAGTACACACTATGCTGTCCACACAGTGACAGAATCACCTAACTGAACATTTGTCAGAACATATCCCTGTTGTTGACACATGACTATATAATTTTATGCATTTTTTGGGGAAAATAATCCTTAGCTTTTATTTAACTCTAAAAGTAGTCTGTTGTCCCTCAAAATTTAACACCCATAGTTACTTAAAGAGATAGAAGATCTTTGTAGCAGACCCATGCCATTCATTACTTTTAAAGATAGTCGTAATATTGGTTGTAATGCTGTTTCGGTCTTCTAAAGCAGTGGTCCCCAACCTTTTTGGCACCAGGGACTGGTTTCATGGAAGACAGTTTTTCCACAGACGAGGGTGGGGTGTGTGGGGGAGGCAGAGCTCAGGCGGTGATGCGAGTGATGGGGAACAGCTGGAAATACAGATGAAGCTTCCCTTACTCACCGACCACTCACTTTCTGCTGTGCAGCCCACTTCCTAACAGGCCACTGGACCAATACCACGGCCTTGGGGTTGGGGACTGCAGTAAAGGATTTATGCTCTTGTTCGATTAATTTTCTGTGTTATTAACTTTGAGATACCGTAGACTTCTACATTAGTGTGAATTTATTTTCTTTACCTAAAAAGTTGATTTTGTCTTGTCAATTTTTTGACATCTATCAATTAATTATTTGTGTGTGTATATATATATATGCATATACATAAATAACATGCTTATTTCATTAATATTTTTTCAGAAATGCGAGATAAAATGAGAAAATGGAGAGAAGAAAACTCACGAAATAGTGAACAAATTGTGGAAGTTGGAGAAGAATTAATTAATGAATATGCTTCTAAGCTTGGAGATGATAGTAAGTTGTTCAGTTAACTTATAACATTCAGGCTCAGCACATGTCTTATTTATAGTTCTTTGGTTTTTTAAAAACTATCTTTTCAGTTATGGTTTTTTCTACTGATTGTATGAATCTTCTCTGTGGCTTTTTATCCGAACAAGTTTAACAATACTTTATTTTGAGGATTTCTAATTACTTGGTAGTTATAAAATAAATAGGCATTTTTGTTTTAAAGCTCACAGGGCTGGCAAATGTCTGTCCAAAATATATTTCATAAAGAATCTTTTAGAACAGTAAAGGTATTAAATTATTAGGTTATTTAGTATGGAATATCTGATTTCCTCAAGTAGTAGGTTTGACAGTTGATATCTCTGACATTTCACTTTGACACTTCTTGTTTGTTTGTTTGTTTGTTTTAATTGTGAAGGTACATCCTCATTCTTTAAAACACACATTTTGGCTTGTGATTATCTTTCAATTTTTTTTTAGAGCAATTTTGTGAAACCATGGATAAGTAAAAAATTCATGTTATCTTTGAATATGAGTTCCATTGTGGAACTAGTGCAGTGCAGACAGCTCAAAATATCAAAGAAGTGTTTGGAAAGGATGTGGCTAATGAACACACAGTACCTTGATGGTTTGAGGAGTTCCATTTTGGTGATTTTAATCTTGAAAATGAACAATGTGGGTGACCTGAGACCAAGGTGGATAAAGATGAACTGAAAGCTTTAGTGGAAGCAAATCCATTTCAACCTATGCGTGAATTAGCAGCAAGATTTGACATTACTATTCTAGCAATATTGGACCACTTGAAACAAATCGGCAAAGTAAAGAAGCTGGATAGATGGGAACCACATGAATTAAACCAGCATCAGAAGAGATATTGTCTCGGAGCTTGCCTTTCTTTGCTGTCATAACATAAAGGCGAACCATTTCTATACTGTATTGTTATGTGTGATGAAAAATGGATTCTTTTTGATAATTTCAAGTGTTCGGCACAATGGTTGGATAAAGACGAAGTGGGAACACAGTGCAAAACATTTTGCTTACTACCACTGACTATCACTTCTTCCAGGCTTTGGACCACTTATTGCAAGGAAAAGTATTCAATTCTCAATAAGGTGTGAAAATGCCTTTCATGATTTCCTTGCCGCTGGCTCTCCAGGCTTCTTCACTGCTGGCATAAACAAGCTACTGTTAAGATGGCAAAACTATGTCTATGGTTTAGACGCATACTTTGATTAATTGTACTGCTTCTTGTTTGAGATGGCTTAAAATTGGACATTTCATATTTAAAGACCTAATTGGAGATTTTTACCTTATAAGATATAAAAAT